CTCAAGTATCAACATTCATTTCAAACTGATATTTTTTTCATATTCTAGATTCCAAACTAGCGGTGATGCTGTCATGTCCTAACTGAAAAAAACAATTTGTAAGTAAAAAGCTTTATGTCCTCCACATGGACTTTTAAAAACTATTGCAACCAAGCACCCCAGCAAGAATATTATGGGGAATAACAAAACCTGAATGGGCTACCTTAGAAGTGTATTTGTTCTCTAGAACATAATCAGCTTCTGTCTACTTTTTCTTGCCTGGTGTGACTGTAAAGTCCTTCTGTATACCTAAGAAGTCACCTTAAAAAACACATTACTATTGATATTTTGATAGAAAATGATTGTCTTTATAAGTACTGATTAGATTAATATTTTGAGCTGAGCCAGGAGAAATAAAAGGAAAGAAGCACTAATGAACCTAATAAAGACACTCAGTCTAGAATGGTTGTTAATCTGTGTAACTAACTACAGGGAAGAAATGTTTGGTGTCGATAAAGCATTTCCTTAGTAAATTACTACTGGCTCCAGTGTAAGACATTTACAGTAAACACCAAAAGTCTGCAAGGCATCTGTTCTACTCACAGTGGAAGAAAGAACTTTACTCCATTAATAACTTTAAAAACATGCAATAAGTAATTCATGATGGCAGTTCAAATCCTATCATCAACCATCGTTATTTGACCAAGCTGAGTTCAAAGATAGAGCAAGTTTTAAAAAACCCTTGAAAGTTTAAAAGTGCACTTTAAATTATAATAAAGCTGTGTTCTTCTTTCTAAGTGTAGAAAGAAAAGACCATGGCTTTAAACCATGTACAACAACATTATTTTAAGAATACATGCAAGATAAGAGTTAAAATGTATATATAAAATCCTATATGATCTCAGATTCCATTTTAGTGAATTTGTACGCTATATAGAGAAGGCATGTGTAATCTATGCGTATGTATATATAATAAAATACTTGCTGGAATTTTAACATTTGACTTTACTAGAGATTTAGTGGGACTTTGCCTAAGGCAAGCTTTTAATAGCAATAATAAAAAAATACTTAATGGTACTTAAGGTAAATAATGTGTGGTCACTATGTTTAAAAAAAAGTAATACCAAACATCTGTGCTAGATTTCCACATGATAAAATCACCGGATTACCTACAGTTCTCCCAAAATTATAGAGAAAAAATGTTTATTTAAAATCCTAGAAAATTCATTTGATAATCAATGTAAGTATTAAAAGGCAGGCATCTTTAATGACAGAAATGTATATTTCGTGATATACAGGATACTTATTTCTGAGCATAAGGACACAATGGTATGACATCATGGCTTCAAGACAGATTTCCTTTTCACCTGTTAACGTACAAACGAAGATTGCCAGGCCCAAGAATGTCCCTCTACTTACGTATGTGTATTTGAAAAGGCTACTTTGTTACCTGAAGAACAATTTCCTTACCAAGCATATGCTATATCATTTTGTCTCAGAAAATAACAATAAAATCCAGCTATCTTAAGAAAAGGCTAGTAAAAATACTTCAATGAGCTGAATTTCTTACAGACAAAAGATTCAGTCTGGCTCAATGAAGGGAAACTGAGTATACAGATGCTCTCAGAAACCATGAAGAGGAGCTCCATATTCTCTCCTTAGTAGGTTGTATATTCAAAGCTGAAGCTGAAAGACGTGCTTACACTTCATGCTATTTAATCTGATTATTTTTTCTTTCTTTGCAATAAGAAACTAATGAAATTTTTGCTATAACTACCACAAGTCTGGGAATCTAGCTATTCTTGCGAAAGTTTATTGCCTGTATTACAAATTCCGTAATACGCAGAAAATCACATTTTTTGCATAGCTTTTTTCCCCAATAAGTTTGTTTTAATGAACCTCACCAGCATAGACATTCTTTGCGATTCCTGTAAGAGAAGAGCAGGATTCCAACTTCAGCTGAAGTTTCCTCCAGTGTAATAAGGCTTAAATTTGCCATTCCTAGAGCTCTCAAAGAGAACTTGAGTAAACACATAATTAGAAGCTCGCCTTTGTGAAATAAAAGTTTGAAGATGCACTAGACTGTAAGCTGCAGAAAGGTATAGTATATGAGGGGCAAGTGGCTAACATCCCCAAATCACCCCAAATCTGATAATAATATGAAAACAAGGAAAAATGGACAGGTTTATATTCCAGAGGCATATTCTTATGCCTCTGGTACGTTAGCTATTTCTATCTCTCTTTTCTGCAGTTTCTCCAAGAAATATAATCTACAGTTTGGAGAAATTCCATATCTTCTGAGGCAACTATTTTAACTTCTACAACTATTCATGGAAAGAAAAAGAAACAAAGCTTTTTTTTCCTCTCCTTTTCCACATGATTCTTGGATATCTGCATGTTAATTTGAATCAAGACAGTAGAATACTGGTTTCTGGTAACGTGCATACTTCACATGCAGTAATAATAGCAACTTGTAAGAACAATAATAGCAAAGCTAATTAAAAAACACATTTGCAGGATTTGATCAAACATTACGTTACAGAGGACAATATATTAGTTTTTCAGGAACATACTCAATATGAGCTCAATATTGCAACCTGTGAAAATACAGAAATCAGAATATTTTAATTGAAATTCTGTAACAACAAATATTTTGTTAAAGACAGGTAAAAATGAACAAAATTTGAGTGAATACTAAATCATTCCTGAGAGGGATTGAAAATGCTTCCAAGTTTTGGTTTACTGCCACAACATTCCCAGGGGAGTTGGAGAAAAGATGGCATTAACAGTTAGGTTGAAAACCTGCAACCTCTTGTTGAAAAATGGAATCCACTAAGACTACTGCAAAAGATTCAGCACACTAATTTATCAGGCTGGAAAACTGTACTTTTTAGGATGAAGACTGCATGCAGTAACAGCAATTCCAGTAAGCACAGCAGAAAACAAAGACTCACTGCACTACACAAAGGTCAAAAGAGGAACAGTGTTTTTTAACAAATGAATAAAATTAAATACTGAATTTCTAATATTCCCTCAAACTGTGTAGACAACTTCCAGTCACAAGACAGCAAAAGACAAACAAATCAAAACCCATAAAACAGCCTCAGGAGCAGAGCTGGAGAGAGGGAATTTCACACAAAGCTTCGGATTCTTAAAGCATGAAGGAAATTCTTACCCAAAATCCCCAAATCGATAGATAGTTCCCAAGCTGACACAGAGATTCTGACCAGCAAACAGTAAATTTTAAACTTTGACAAGTCTCCAAGGCATATCATAAGCATACCATAAACATAAACTCCATCAAACCCCTCTGTACACTTGTTCTAGAGGAAAGATAATTACTTTATCCTCAATATAAATTTAGAGATAAACAATTTTCTTCCTGGCTCCTGAGAGCAATCCAGTGGGAGCTATGAAATATCTTGTCTACTTTCCATGCTCTATTTAGTCCTTTTTCTCTAACTGCTCTTGGAAGGCCATTCCAGAGCTGGACGACTATGCAAATTAAAAACCTTCTTCAAATTTCTGCTTTATTCATTTCCAGGATGTGTCTGAATTAGTAATTACAAATGTATGTGATAATGATGCCATAGATGAGGCACAATCACAGAACAAAAAACAGTTAACATACAGCAGATCATCCATGTTTGAAACAGACTGTCTTTCTCTGAAATCAGATTTAATCCAGAAACCCATCTGATAGTTTAAGCACTTCTCCCACAACTCTTCTTACAATAAATACAGTATCATTAACTCCTTAAGCAAGTCCTTTCAGAATCCTCTGACTTTCAGACTCCATTAAGTGGTGGCATCATTTTTTAATGAACGTTCTGCCTGAGAAAAGACCCAGGAGGATCCACATCTTCACTAAAAATCTTTAAATCTATGATTGTGCCCAGTAAATTTTCCAGTGTTTCTGAGATTGAGAAGGGCTCCAGATACAACTGAGGCCCCAATACATATTTCAGATTAAAAGGAAGAAAAAGAAATCTAACATAAATCTGTCACTGGGTTTTCAGAATTCCTTTTTACTAACAAAGTAGCTGAAACCTCAAACAGTTCATCCATAGGAAAAAAAAAAACAAAAAAACCTGTAGATGTAGATAGCTATTCCTTATCCAAGAACTAATAATAGTTTTCTGTGTTCTTGTACTAATTTTATTCATGTTTTGACTTATCAGGCAAATTAGTGGTTGTTTGATTTTTTTTGTTAACTAGACCAGTAGTTCAATCAGACTTTGCTGCTCCTGAATTTCTAAGGAAATAGAGCTGGATGTCCTGATTCTCCTCACTGTAATAGTTTGTACTCTACCTCTGCAGTTGTCACCTTTCTCAGTAGGAAGCAGCAAGGTCTGTCTCTGAGGAAGACACACTGTCTCATTTCCCTGTCATCAGCTTCAGAGGCTGCTAGGATGAAGGGCAAATGGGCTTGACAACCAGGCAGACTTTCTTTCAATCATACTTCTCCCAAATCTAGCTTCAAAATTCATCAGCAAGTAATGTGGGCTTGAGGCCAAACCTCCCAAAGCACAGCACAGCCATCACTCCAGTGTGTTAATGGGGTGCTATTATGTTGCATACCACACAAGAAAATAAATTAGAAAAAGTCTGGCTACAGAAGGCAAAATGTTTGAAAACACTTTTCAAGTGTTTAAACACAAGAGGTATAAAAACAAAATGTAGCATGTACTCATTACTAGTTATTTTATAGTAACAAAAGGTGCTAAATGTCTCTTCAATAGTTCTCATCGCCTTGATTTGCTAAATATTGATTTGTCAAAATACAAAAAATCTAGAATGTATGCAAAGCACACAATGTCAAAGACAGTAAGTCTCAAATGGCACAATTACTTTTCTTCCATAATTTCTTAGTCCACTTGTTTATTTAATTTGGATTTAAAATAGATGCATCTTATTCTATGAAACAATGAAAGCAGAAAAAGAAAACACTCAGATACTTATTTCCAGACCTACAGTAAATACGTTATCTTTTAAAGAAATAAATAATGAGTTTTCCTTACCTCTCTAAGATGTATGTTTTCCTTCTCCTTCTGGTCTAATATCACTTCTAAATGATTAACCTGAGATTCAGCTTCTGCCATCCTTCGAGTTCTCTCATTGTCATCTTCCATTCCTTTAGAGGGCAAACCTTTACTTTGCAACATTTCCAGAAGCTTTTTTATTGATTCATCTCTAGCATTTAGTGTTTGTTTTTGTGTTTCAATCCTTAGCTCCATTTCTTCTAGAGTTTTTCTTAACAGGAAAAGCTCTTTAGCTTGCCTATCGTGTTCTGCTTGAAGTCTTCGAAAATTCTCCTCTGTTAGCTCAATAGTAAAATGCTCAGCACCTCGGTTTCCACTTTCTTGCTGGAGAAGATGATTAAGGTCTCTCTGGGTTCTAAGCTCATCTTGAAGAGCCTGGATTGTCATTTGCAGATGCTACAACACACAGGAAAAAAAAAAAAGGAAAAAAAAAGAATTTAGGATCTGACTGTAGAATTAGACTTCATTGAACTTTTGCTGTATGCTTCTATAAAAATTTATTAGCATTAACAATGGAAGTATACTAAATGACCTTTAAAAAAAAAAAAAATCACGAATGCATGTGACAACGTTTATAATGATGTCCTTCAAGAACTTGTAGAAAAAATAAATGACAACACACACAGGGTCAGCTACAGATAAAATAAAGAGCAAAGAAAAACAACAAACTCAAACACAAGGCAGTGACACATCCATTTGTACAGTCAGTATGTGTCTACGAAGTTGAAAGACTCAGTATTCCTTGTTTTCTAAATTGCTTCATAGACTACAGGTGGTTCTGCCCTGCATGGTGCTCAGCAGATGAGTTATAAAGTGAATCAAAGCACTCGCTGTAACTGAAGGGATTTTGGTGGGGAGCAAGGGGGAGCACTTGATTGTTTTTGTTTTTTTCTTTTGGCAACTAAAGCTATGAATATGCTTTAGTAAACAGGATTACTGTATCTCTAGTGAGCAAACAAAAAAAAAAAAACACAGTAAGCAATATCGAATTCTGGAAAAAAAAAAAAAAAAAAGACTGCAAATAGTAGACAAACCTTTGTTCTCCTGGCATCCAAAAACTGAACAGCATGGTAAATGAAAAATGAAGCAAAATCAACATAAATAAAGGTCAGATGCAAGCAAAGGAGATTCAACAGAAAGAACTGAATTCAACAAAAAGTATCTTCAACAGAAAAAATAATTTTATTGAGATATACAAAACAGCACCAACGACTTCACAATACTCAAATATACAAACCAAGGCTAAGGACAGACTTTACTCAATAGATGTGACAAGAAAAAAAAACAACATACACAATAATTAATCTCACAATGAATAATAGTAATAATATTCCTATTACATCTCACTGTGCTTTCACACTTATCTTTCACACAATATCTTCTCCTAAATTATTAGTTTTAAATTTGAGTACAGTGGTCTCTGTTCAAGAGAGAAATCTCACTCCATATTCAACACAATGAAAAATTAATATGAACAAAATCATTTCAAAGTTGAAGCATAGATTACTCTAACTTACTGTAATAGCATGTTTAATGTCTGAAAATGTGTCTCATTTTTTCTTTATTAATTACCCACACTGTACACAGAATGCATAGAAATACGAGTTCCTGAAGAGCCATATTGTATCAGTACGATTTAGATGACTTTAAATGTATAGCATCACTTTTTTTGTGTGTCTTAATGAATATTCTGCAACTCCACACTTCAGTGAAACCATAATTCATTAACACTGGAAGTCAGTATCACAGGCTTCTTCAGTTCCTTGATAGCATCTTCATTTTTAGAAGAATTGTATCTAGAGCTGTCAGCATGTAATAAACTGAATTTGAACAGAAAGAATAAAACTTTCTGAAATCACATCTGTTACCAGTCACTTCAAAAGGATAAAAAGTTTTGGATGCAGTGGAATTATGTAGTCTGAATTTGTTCTACCATTAAATGGCAATGTTTTTATAAGTGTTCGGAGCTTAAATCTCTTAATGTTTGTATCTCATTAGGTGCACACTCAGTTGAGAACATGCAAATGTAGGCTACTCATTTACAGCCCTGCTTTTACGTAATGGTAATTCTCAATGTTTCTTAAAATCTCAGCACGTTTTAAATTATTTCTATACGTTTAAAAGTTCCCAACAAACTTAATTTCAAAGTTGTTCTAGATATAGCGATTTTCTACTTTAAATCCATTACTGTACTGTTTATGATCCTGAGAATGACAGCTTTAGCACAGAAATTCAGTACATAAATCCAAATGTTCAAAAAATAGAGAAATGTTCAATGATGTTCATGAATGAATTAAAAAGACATGGGAAAGCAGTGACAGAGACAAATGCTGCAAAGTAAACAAAACCAAACTCCTTTCTTTCCAAATGCTTTTTGACTAAACTGACAAAATATTTATAGATATCTCCACCAGTTAATACAGCAGTTACACAATGTTTCCAAGCTATACAAGACTTTGCTTTAGAGAATATAGACATTCTGTTCTAATTCCTTTGAAGCTTGGAGAGAAACAAAAATTTTCAGATAAGTAATCATGGAAAAAAAAAAAAATTCCTATTAAACTTAAATTATTCATAAATTTTCAGCCAGCTTGAAAATAACCTCTTTCAAAAGATCCAAAAGAAGAAAAAAAAAAATTCACGTGGCTTTTTCAAATTAAATGTTTTGATTTTAAAACATTTCCATGCTATTTTTAATTTTAAATTTTTTTAATTGAGATAGATTTTTTAATTGAATTTTTTCCTCTTAATGAAAAACAAAAAAATAATTCAATCACTGTTTAAAAAGAAATTTCTCTTTTATTTAATTTTGAGTTCAGTCTCCACATCAGCTGGATTTTCAGTCCCAAGACATTTATTTGAAGAATGAAACTCGAATCTTTTCATTCTCTGCAAAAGAATGACTGCCTGAAGTAACCGCCTATAAAACCTGAGGAGGTTTTTTTCTACACAATTATCTCTCTACTATGCAACAGAAATTTTCAGTAACTCCTCGTATAGTCTATAAATAGTCAAAAAAGAAGTCTTCTTGGAGTTTCCTCCAATCCGTATGATTTAAAATAGCTTTTTCTAACATTACATTAGACAATACTTACTCCTTGATGCTAAAAACTACTTATAAACACCTTCCCAAAGTCAAGCAATCTCTGTACACTGTGTCTAGAAGATTATAGCCAAATCAAAGGAAATCCGTTTGTAAAATATTTCAATTTTTTTAAAACAGAAATAAAAGGGAACTTAAAATACAGATTGCTAACATGCAGCCAAAACTCTTAGATCAATACACAAATTATTAGAAATCAGAACTCAAAATAGCAAATCTGGCAAGATAAACCAGCAATAACTTTCCTTTCTGTCCCACAGCAACCTATGCACGGCGCTCTCGCGTTCTGCCCATAAATACGTTTGTTGCTGAGCACAGCAGTAGTTGTGGCTGCTTCTCTGTAACTGTTAAGCCCAAGAGCCTAAATGGCAGCAGGCTGCTGCTACCCTAACACAATCCATTTTTTGAGACCTTCAAGACTCAGAATTCTTTGAACACGATGGCCCAGATTTAGATTCGTGCTGGCACAGATTTTTGTATCTGCAGCTAGCTAAGAAAAGGAAAGAACACATGTTGCGAAGGTGGAAAGATACTGAATAATTAATTATAGCAGGGGAGGAATGTGGGAGTGCTGTGAATATCTGTCACGTTGCTTTTAGTACGTAGGCAGGACTTTGTAGGATTTGAAAAGACACACAAGCTCTATCACGCTTTCCATAATTTCTATTAAAAACAGGCCAGCTGACAAGGACTTACAGAATGATTCCATGCTTCTAGGGAACACATAAATAGTTCTCACAAAACTTTTGCAATCTTCCCTTACAGCCCAACTACAAGTGGCAATCCATTGAACTGCAGTGGATGTTCCCATTAACCTTTTTCTGAATTAGGCACAACACAAGTTTCTACAATTTGCCCCCGAAATTTGAAACAGAACTATGAAGAATTAGCAATCCCCACTTGGTTGACTGGCTTCCAACTCTTGCTCTACATGTGGACATCAATCCATGCAAAGAGGCTATTCACAGACAAATCACCTGCAGAGAACTTTCCTGCCTCAGCACACCTTGGATCAGAGCACAGGAGCATTTCAGAGCATCTCAAGGCCTTCGATACATGGTAAACATTGGAGAAAAAGAATATTGGAAGATTGACCGATTTAACATAATTATCTACAGGCATACAGAACTTCTATTTTACATCACTGCCCTCGCACCAAAAGTGAAGAATATATTGAAAATAGTCAAACAAATAAAACCAAATAATTGGGAGAGGAAAAAACAAAACATACAAAGAAAAAAAAAAACTTAATAGTAACTTGAAAGGAAGCAACAAATTCTATGTAACATGAAAGAAGAAAAGAATCATAGTAGGAGCTGTCTTGACTGGGAAAACCAGCCTGAAGGATTTGGTGGCAGACAATAAGTGGTCATTGGTTATTATCAAGTGATAAACTTAGAAAGTGTGTCATGCATGATTTACTACACATTTCCTGTAATATAATGATAATCTATCCAATTTATTCCACAGACAAAAATCACTCAAATTTGGAAATGAGGGGTAAGGAATTCTGAATATGTTTCTCCTCTAAATGGTTCACTACAGCTAAAGAGGACAATGTCAAGATCACCCAGTGTAGGCAAAACAACTATTTCTGTAGCCATTCAAGATGATTCACTGCTTTGGTGCTTCACCTAAACAGAGTGATAGGTAGTAGCATTTTTCCACTACTTCAAGCCACTGCCTTTTGGCTTCTGACTCTCACTGTTCCATTTTCACTTACTGATTCTTCTGCTTCTTTCCCATTCTGGTTGAAAAGGTAAAACGTATTAGGCTTTTTCCTATATGACTGTTGCTGTAAAGCCAGGTAAGATAAGAAATGACTACTGTCACAACTGTCTCTGTCCTCTCAACATCACAGCATTTATGTGGTTGTGATAGACAAACAGCCTTCTGAAGCGTAAAACAACTGAGAACAGAACCCTGCAAGCTTAGAAGGAATAATCTAGGAAATAAAGCAGTTCTAGGCAAAAAGCAATCTCATGCTGCAGTGCAGGATGTGGCTGAACTGCCTCACACCATGCAGGTTCGCAATATGAGAATGTACAGCAGTACTCCAAGGTGGAAACATGACAAGATCTTCCAGAAGCAATATCAAACAATCTTTCTGTCTCCAGCTGCTTTTTTCCCCTCCCTTCCCTTTTATTAGTACATAGAAAAATAAAAAGAGCTTTTGACAGCTTTATTATCTGTTACAGACTTTTGAAAGTCATGTCTAACAGTATTTTTCAAAATATATTCTTTGAACTTAGGATGACTGTGCAGTTTCTGCAGCTAACTTTTTGAGGATATGGGGTATATTACTAAGCAGATTTGCATGATCACATTTTTTCTATTGTGCACACTACAGAGGAAGTAAACTGTACTAACTATAATACCCTGTGTTTTGGGACAAAGGCTGGATTGGCTCATACACTCCAGCCTCTAGCAGTGGCAAATGTCTAATGATACAGAAGACAGTGAAAACACAACTGTAGCTACAGAACAGTGTTTGTAACTTAGGAGACATAACAACAAAATATACTGTTGGCTTTTTGTTTTTTATTTTCCGAATAGAGATTCAACACTTGATCTATAACCTGCCACTACTCCAATTTCAGTCTTCAATTTATGAGGTTCCAGTGCTGAAAGGTGACATATTTCCTAAAGGCAATAAATTGCATCCAAACCAATACGTACATTAACTTCAGTTATATTACTGAAACAAGCATGAGAATTAGATTTGCAAATATTTACACCTAAACGTTGTTAAGTGCTACTTTGCAAACCTTCAGTTTCTCCTGTAAGAGAAAAACAAAAAGGGGATTGGAGATGTTTTCCTCATCGGTATAAATCAAGAAATAGATTCTTCCATGTATTTGGCTCACCATCTAAAGTTGGGGTGCTGGAATTGTAAATAGCACTGAAGGACTAATTAACAAGAATTTTGCTTGAATGAGGCACCACTGAGGAAAA